TGGGATTGCTGCCCAGATTTTCTCAGAATGTTGTTAGGCAGGCTTCTAGGTCTAGGTGTAGGCTTGCAAACGTAGCTGTGACGGCAAAAAAAAGTGCTGAACGACTAGTTATTAAACCAAACCTTGGACAGGCAGGAAACTGTAGAGTCAAAACTGACCTCAGAGCAGTTCAGTGTGTTGGTTCAGTCTAGATTTTTTTTCTGAAGATTTTACGTAAAGGTGTTATTAGTTATGTTTTTATCTTAATGAATTAGTTTCCTGTCTTTCAGGTGCGTAACTGAACTCGACAAATCTGTGATCTAAAAAACAAGCAGCCCCTCTTAGTGTGACTGGATTTGAACTGATCATATGCAGGCAGAGTACTGATCGTGGAGGAATCCACAGAAAGATTTTACTGCATACCTGATGGATTTATTAACCTTTGTTAACATGTGCTAGTCCCAGAATTCAGTTCCCTGCTCTTACCTGCTCATTATGAAAAATGAAAGACACAGGATGTTTTACAGGCTACCTATAAATAATACACTTGCTATATAATTGAGAGTGTACTGGAACTGCTCGTAGTATACCAAAGTACTCCGGATAGAAATCTTTGAATAAAACTTTAACTTCACAGCTCTGTGATAAGTATCCTAATTTCTTGAATTGATTTTCTTCTGCCTCGTACAGAACTTGCTAGAATTAATGAATGTTGGAAATGTGGATTTTGTTTTTTCTTCTAAATAGTTAACTGTCTCTAGTTGTTTTTGTCCATTTTTAATATGCTTTTAATGTGAATGCATGCTCACTTATGTCCCTGTGAGTTCGTAGGAAGTTGACCTCATTTGTTTTGCAACAAAAGTTGTTTTTTGCAAGGTTTGTGTTTGTTCGGAATTATTAACCTTAGCTTTGACTCAGTTCACAACTGAACAAGTCTTGGGTGAGTAAGAATTTAGGAACTCAGTTGTTTTCTAGGTAGAAATAACAGTTCTCTAGTCACACCACTGCAGCAGCTCTGTAGCAATCCAAATTGTTAGACCAGATGGGGGGAAAAAAGGAAAAAAAATTTCGTTTGTTCTTGTTAACTTCTTACATAGCAAGATCAAGTAGTCTGCTGCCCGACTCTCTCTAAACCTGTAAATTGAAGGCTAAATACTTTCTGGTTATTACTTGACATTACTGAACTGGTCTAGTGAACTACAAAAACTGAGCATTGTTGGAAATGCTGACCGGGTCCTAATGACGGTGTTACCGTACGCGTCTGCAGTGTTTCACTGCTTTGTTAGTGCACTTGGTATGCTCACTGTATCTGCCTTCTCAGCAGAAGTTTTTGAGTGCTGTCCTTGTTAGCCAATTTAAATTGTATGGAACAAGACATCTTTTGCTTCCCTTGCTGCTGACTGCATGGGAAAGCTGTTTTGATGGATTGGTGACTCACATACTCTCCAGAGTTCTAGCTGGTTTTTTTTCTATAGACTCACACAGGGAAATTCTTTTCTAAGTGCATATCTGATAAACCTTTTCGTCCTGTACTTTCCCTTATCTTCTCTTTGTTTTCTTCCTCCCAGACAGATGATATGAAGATCTAAGTCTCTGAAGAATGGAATTCTTCCATATTTAAAATTCCTTTCTCTTTGCTCCCAAGAACAGGGCAGGCATATGGAAGGAGGGGTTCTGGGGAGTGTGTGAATGCCACCCAGCTGATGGGTCTAATTTTAGTTTTTGAACCGAACTTTTCTGTAGTTACAGATAGGGGTTGTATATTTTGTTTTGGCTTTACTGTTTTTTCTTTTTTCCCTCTTCAAGATCTGTCTAGCAAAGTTTACCCTGTAGGAAAACAAAAGCTTTTCCTGGTGATGTTTTTAGTTTCAGAATGTATCACTGAAAAATAATGTAAAGTGGAAGCTGCACTACAGATTAAAGTCTGCTTGTTAACAGAGGTATTCAAAGTAACAAGAATTTCATAGATGTGAGGAACAGAAGTTGAAGTTGTCTCTTTTGGTCAATCTTCCCAAGTGTTTTAGGTTGTAATCCTGTAGGAGAATGACTATCTTGTTCACAGATATTAGGCCATTTGAAATTCTGATCCTAAATTGAATTACTGTATCTTTCTATGGTGATTTTTGGTGGCAGTAGTATTAGAGTAACTCTTAAATTTGCAGATATTCCAGTGTATTTCTGTGGCCACTAAGTAACTTTATAATTCACGCTTTTCTAAATGTAGAAACTTTGCTGTATTAGTGTAATATTACACCTGCTTGGGTAAAGGGATGCAGATTTTGTGCGGCCTCTTGTACTGCTTTACCAGTGAGTAGGTTCTGCCTGTGACGTGATAGATTTATATTTAAGTTGGTGCATAGACAACAGACTGGTTTAAGTGACATAATTCACATCTTCAATTGAAAGGGTAAAATTATACATGATGACAAAACCTCAGAAAGAAAATTCTCTTGAAGGCAAAAAGTATGTTACCTTTGAGGGCTTTTTTAAAGTTTACTGCTAATCTGTTCTACTGATGGAATGACCTGGGACAAACTGGTAGTCTTTTTTTTTTTTTCAATTGTGTCTTGCTATTTCTACTGTTTTCTTTAAAGCTACCCAGGAATATGCTTCTGACAAAATGGGTATGTCAGGTGAGGGAGGGATTTTTGAGAAGTACCATGTTGTTAGAAAATAAAAACGTTTCCGTGAGCATTGATCAGTTATGATGAGAAATTTTTAAAGCGTGGTTTTGGTCAAATACCACAACTGTGCTTGCACTCACTTAGGATGTGGAGTCTGAAGGTCTTCTTTAGACTGTTCTTTTTCTTATCCTGATTTGGAACAGGGAGATTCTTGAAATCATGGGAGAAAAATTTTGAAACACAAACTAGTGGCTTCCTTGTCCATTTTTTGGCCGTGTAAAAACAGTGACCTAATTTTTTTCTAATGTCTGAGCATCCAGCAACTCTTGTCGTCATAATTTATCTAAAGGTTTGAAAGATTTAATGTTGTGGTGTTTTTTGGTTTTTGTTTGTTTTTACACTAATCAAAATAATGTATTGTGAGAGCTCTTTACAGTATAATGAGCTTAGAGCAATGGACTTTGTTGCTTGCCTGCTTTACGTTCTGTTAGAACTTGGCAGCAATTACAACCGAGGCTTTATTTAACACATCCGCATTTCTAGTGGAGTTAATTTTAAAGGGTTTCTTATTAGTATGGGGTGCTTTGTCAGGCAGTGACAGAGTATGCTGCAGAGTTGCAGTGGCTGCTTCTCATCGCCTATCCGTTGTGACATAATGTGGTTTTCAAAGTTTGTTTTGCTTTTGTTTTACGATTGTTTTCTTAGGTAATATAAATGCTGCACTTCTCAGTTCTCTTACGTTCTCAAGTATGCATGTAGGAATTTTGGAGGCAAATTTGGATGTGATGAGTGTCAGTTAACTTTCAGTATTAGGAGAAGTCCATGGAATTCTGCATTTGGAGTAATTAAGGAAAGTGAAAGCTCAAGTGAAAGTTTCCTTCTTGTCCTACATGTTTGGCTGTTGTTGATGACTGGGAAAGGTTTGACAGTTACGAGAATGTCATTTGAAATCAGGTGCTTGTTATCACTTTACATGGGTATTTTTATGACACGGTGAAAATCTGTAAGTCATTTCCCACCCACGCCTAAGCCCTGATCTACTTCGAAAAGTAACCTGGCAAAAAAACAGGAGGCATCTTAATTTAAAAGTTTTGATTCATTTTGCGAACTTGGCAAAACCAAAGATTTTTTTGACAATTCCAGGACATTTTAAAATGTTTTGATATGAATTACTTCAGCTATGTGCCAAGCATAGGGTTGTATTTCAGTACACATTGTGGCAAAACTCTTTGTATACAATCTGTGTAGCTCCCAACTTTTGTTTGTATGATACGGTATGTTTAAACGCTGTCTTTTATTCGCACTAAATGTTGAATGCTGGTATTCTGTAGTAGCTGGTTGCACAGTGGTTTAGGTTGTGCATTCTAGATATCTGTAGTCTTCTGGCTGACCTTTTAATTCGTTTTGGGAAATACTGTGAAATGCTGGTATTGTGTGGGATGCCCGATGTAGCGGGGAGGCGCTTCCTGTGCGAGGGGAAGGATGTGCTGTCTTTGGGGTTTCGAGAGCTGTTGCAAGAGCTCCTTAAAAGTGCCTGCATTTACATAACTTGAAAAGTTAGACTGTGGGCCAGACGGTGATGAGCAGCAGCTCTGTAACCTGTGGTTTACTGAGCCAAGTCTCAGTTTTGATCTGTCCTGACTTCTTGAGCTGAATTAATTTTGTGTCATCATGCCTAGACAAATGTCAGTGTGGCTTTAGGTGTGCACACGAACAGGTTATGGTAGCATCTTGGCTGTGGCAACGCAAATAAAACTTCACATGAGAATTGTGCGTGTGTCCCCCCATGTAAGAAGGAAGAGGTTTTTTTGATTTCTGTTGATTAGCATGGTTTCATTTCATGCTGTACTTTCATGTTGGCTCGATAGTATAAAACTTGCACAAAGATAATACGAATTAGGTCCTGTAAAACTTGGCTTAAAAAGTGCTGTTCCAAGTGCAGATTTCTCTGTTTCTTTGGTCAGGATGCAGCTCTTTCCCGTTGTCCCCCTAATAATTGGGATTGGGAGCCTTTTCTTAAATCTGACCCTATTGGGGGACTGATTGTGCTGCGGGTGATTGTTTTTACTTGTTTGAATGGCTGCTGGTGTGTAAAACTTGCTGGATCATCCCTCCCTTGGCCTTGAATATTTCAGCTGCACTTCTCTAATACAGTGCATTTAATTGGTGGCTCACAGGTACAGCCTGGGGTGAATGCTGTTCCTAGGGTGGGCAGGTGGCGTGTGGTAAAACCAGCACGTTTTGTTTGGGAACAACTCTAAGCCTCAGCTGAAGGCAGTGCTCTGACAGGATGTGGAAACTGATCCTTTTGTTCTTTAGAGTGCTCCTGTTGGTGACTGTATCTCTTTTGAGATGCTGTTGTGGACTTGCATTTTTTTCCTGTCCTTAAAAAAAAAAAAAAAAAAAAAAAAAAAAAGAGCACCCTTCATTGTCTTACAGCATCCATCTTCTCTGATCTCAAGCTCCAAAATTAAATTACCTTCTAGAACTCTGGAGTGAGGATATAGTCTTTTGTTTGTATGATCCTTTGCAGTGAATTACATTAAAATGGCTAGAATAGTTGCGTTATTGGTCCTAATCTTCGAAACACACAGCCCTCAAATTCTGTAAATGTGTAAATTCATGGAGGTTAATGAATGCCTTAAATTATTTTTTTGAAAGCTGAGATATTGGAAAATTACTTCAATTTGCATTGAAGAAGTGAATCAAAACTGTGTTAACTCTTAAATGGTGGTTATTTCATTTGAGAGGCATAGAAATAGTGGTGAGCTAAGTGGGAGGTAGTGTCTGAATTCTGTTGATGATTGCTTTCTAAAGCTTATCGTGTTAGTGTTTATGTAGTACCTAGTACATTGGAGTCTTTTGGCTGGGGTCTTGGGTGCTGAATTAGTGCAGATAAGAATGAAGGTTTATTCAGTGCACACCCTGTAGCCATTTTTGTGTCATTAACCTGCCCGCCCTTCATTATTTTACAATATCGCTGTGAAAAAATTGCTAGCAAATTGACCTTTATGTAGCAGAAATAGAAACTGTCCTGTCTGGATTTGAATTTAACTCATTTGATTCATTCTGTCATTTGTGGCCACACAGGAAGCCCCATTCATGTGATCACAAAGCCTAATAGCTGTTTGTACAGTGAGATTGATCTGATTACTCTTCTCTGTCTTGTGCTATTTACAGTCTGCTGCCAATTCACAGAAAGGGAAGAGAATGGCTGCAAAGGAGAAGTTGGAGGCAGTATTAAATGTGGCCCTAAGGGTCCCAAGCATCATGCTGTTGGATGTCTTGTACAGATGGGATGTCAGCTCATTCTTCCAGCAGATCCAAAGAAGTAGCCTGCACAACAACCCTCTCTTCCAGTACAAGTACTTGGCCCTTAATATGCATTATGTGGGTAAGTGCACATGTATTTGAGACAAAACGCTATTGTAGTAAATGCCATTTTGCTTACTGCAAGAGTTTTAAGTCTGGTAATAACGTGATAGTATATTGACTACAACGAATACCATGATAATATATTGATTACAGTTCTGCGTAAGGGACTGTTAATATTAGCACTAAGGAAATCCTGTCTAGGGTCTTCTACTGAACCTTTGTGTTAAGCCTTGATATGTAAATAGAGTAAACCTGGTGTGTGGAAACGTGAATGATGCCCCGAAAGAATAGCACAGTGACTTTGGCCTGTGACTAACTGATAGAAAGATGCTGTGAAATGCTGTGCAGAGAAGAAGTGTTGTAATTTATATAATTTGCATGAAATAGAAACTAGGGAAAAGATTGCCAAGTTTGGACTGTGACCACAGCACCAGAAAGTTACCTTTCAGTGCTGCATGGATATGGCTCTTCAGTTTACGACCTTATGAACCATATATACAGTGTGAATGGATTAGAGCAGGTGATGAGTCCTTGTGTTGCAGATAAATGGACAAAATTACTGACGCAGCTCAGGGAGCTGAGGTTTGAACCTTGACCTGCAAGTCTGGCTCTGGAATGTTAAGTGTCTGTTTTTAGGAGATGAAAGGATTGATGTTCTGGGACCTGCTCTCCAGGTGGGTATGTGATTCATCTAGTGACTGCACATGGGGTTGATGAGGGATTGGATCCAGGCTGTTGAGGTTGATAAGCCAGTGATCACCTGTGTGAGTGCTGCCTAGCTTGGAGAGAAATGGCTGGCGTATAATTTTCCCACTCTGGAGTGTCTCTTCCTTGTAGATTGCTTTGGAGGATAAAGATGTACTGTGATCAGCTAAGGGAAACATCCTTTAGTTAAGTAGTTACAGGACTGTGTTTTTTTGAAGTAGTATGTCCAGGATTTTAATCTTAACTGCGGAAGTGTTGGCATGTGACTTTTCTCTTTTAATCTATTAAATGTCTATTGTCTGGAAGTTGTTTAGTGCCATTAAAAACACGTGTGGATTTCTTTGTTACGGCTCCGCTATACTCATTCTGGGATAGCAATGTACTTTTAGTGCAAAAAGCTGGTGTTAGTTCTATGCCCTTTTCATATGTTTGTGGGACAGAGTACTTGTTTGTTGCTGGTGACTGTGACACAGGACCGTTGTGGCATGTGACTACAGCTGGCTTTCTCATGCACTCATGCACACAAGTACCTTTTAGGAATTAGTTAATCATATCAGTTTCTAATACAGAACTAACAGTTGTGCAGTAAGCTATCAGGATGTCAGTGGATAATTTCCAGCTGTGACACAGCCCCTCTTTATAGTTGTTTGATAACCTTGTCCTCGCTTAAGTATGTTGAGATACACCAACAAAAAGCGCTACAGAGAGGGTAGGTATTGTTACTAAAGTATTTCTCACCTGGATGCTATTTTAGTACTAAACCAGTGGATTCTGACTTTGTGCTCCTCATACAAGTGGTGCTTTTGTGCTGGTGCACAATCACTCAGCAGTTCTTTGACTTTTCGCTTTTACAGTATTGAGCATCTGTACTTTTACTGCTCCAACTGGTAGTTACTGATGAAGAAGGGCTTCTAAATCATCGAGCAAGTTGCTCGTTTTAAAAGATTTTCAAACAGTTTTCAGTGACAAAACTTTGCTAGTACTTTCCAGTTAAAGTTGATTTGTTTCAGTTCCTTGGTGGTGTTTTTTTTTTTTTTTTAAGCTGAGTCAGTGTGAGGCTGGGCTAAATCAGTTTGCATGCCTGTACAAGATTTTACATAGATCTAACTGCATCGGTTTACAGTGTAACATTAATTAAAATGATGTATCAAAATATATGAATTGGATTTGTAAGGAAAACAAAGTACTTTTCCACCAGTTTGGAAAATCAAGCTTCTTTGAAGATACGTTGGGGGAAATTAACTGCCAGTTTGTAATTTAAATAACAACTTACCATGGATATGTTTCAACATGATAATCTGTTTTATTTAGGGAAAAAATCCACTGTTCATATTTGCGGTTAGGAAACACAGTGTCAGCAAATGCTGTGGCAGCTTTGCAATATCAACAATCGCTGAATTTCTTACATAGGCAGTGTAAGGTACTGTATCGTAGAAGTGCTTCTGGCAGCTTGGGAAATTGGGTGCATCTAAAGGCAGGTGCTCAAGGAACAATTTCATTAGAGAGACATAAAAGTCAGTAAACTATATCAATCTTAATATAGTGAACCTTTTCCTGGAACTAAGGATCCAAAGTTGGAAATTAGCTCAGAACTGGGGATTATCAGAAAGATCTTTCCTGTTTACATGCACTCTTGTTCTTGCAGCGATTTGACTGAAAGTTTGAAAAGCAAATTGTTTTTGATCAAGTGATGTATGTTACAGTGCGATTCATGTTCCAGTTAGCAGTACTGGGAATGTAATTAAAGCCTCTAGGCTTTGTCCTTTCATACAACTTCTCCTTTTCATATCTTTTCATGAAACAGCCCTTATCTGCTTCAGGGAAGGAAAATAGTCGTGATAACCACTCAACCGCAAGTTCAACCGCATGAAGTTTAACTAAATATGCATAAAGCAGTGCAAACAGCAGATAAATTTCTGGTTAGAATTGTGGAATGTAAACAGATCAATTTAATATAGGAAAAATTGCAAAGTAATTGTGTTTGAGCTTTGTCTGTCAAATACCACTGTGGTTACTGTTTTGGCAAGCACGAAAAGCCTGTGAATGTCCTGCAGTAGTCTTCAAAATGCACTTCAGCTCTTCTGTATAAAGTTTGTGTTATGTTGCTTTGTTTCATGATACTGTTTTCCTGCATATGAATAATTTTCTAGAATCACTATTAGAATTTTTTCACCTCTGAAAACGTGCCTAGATTTGTTAAGTGTGCTTAAAAAGACAAACATCAAACTTAGTTAAGCAACAATTCGGGAATGTCTCTGGCTGAAAAATTCTTGTTCTCTGTGTATGGAAATTCATACTTGATGGTCACAGGATCTCTTAAAGCTTAAAATTTGATTCATCTTACCCAGTATCTTTCTGGAAGTACTTTTGGTACACCTTACAGGATGTTTACCAGGTAATTCATTGAAGACTTAATTTAAAATTGCTAGAGATGCTTGGGATTAAAAGGAATTAAACTGTGTACTTGATTTTTACTTTTTTTAGTTTGACATATCCAGTGGTTATTTGTAAGAACAGACGGGAATCAAATAAAATGGGGTTTCAACCCGAATTCAAGTGCACATACTAGTGATATTCAGCAAGAAATTATATTAAAAATAGTAAAAATTCTTTTCTTCTCTGAAGGGAGTCACACGGAAGGTTTGGCTCTATAATGTGGCTCTTTCATGCTATCTTTTTAAATACAATAAAATACATACATGCACATATATATGTTTTTTTCTCTTTTATGAGTATTGAAAAATGCTGAATTATAGGCCTGATCATAGAATACCAGGTTGGAAGGGACCTCAAGGATCATCTGGTCCAATCGTTCTCGGCAAAAAAATTATTTGCAAATGTGACCTGTGGATGAAAATGCATTCTGTAGTTCTTCCTGGAGTGTTTAGGAATATCTTGTCAATAAGCAGTACTCTGCCAGGACTCTTCCCCAAATACTCCAGATCATCCTGTTTTGGGGGGCTGGGGATGACCCATCCAGGCAGTCTGGCTGAAGAGTAGCGTGTGATAAATTTGTGTGCAGAGTGCTGTATTACCAGGTATAATTCTGACAGTTGATACGCTGTCTGTTACCAGGTATAAGGATCTGGAGGAAAAGAAGCTTAGAAAACAAGTCAGCTATTTTTTTTTTTTTTGTCCACAGCTGTTACAGGTGTAATGTGATTTCATTAAGGTATAAATTTAAAGTAGCCTCTCCTTCAGGGAAGATCTGTGCTAGCTAAAATGGCTTTCTATTTGGGCCTCTGTGTAGGATAGACTACCATGCTCTGCTGCTGCCAGACTTCAGTGTTTCTCCTGCTCTGTAGAGTAACTCTGAGAAGACAGTCATTTTTTTTCATTCTTTTGATGAAGAAGGTGGAAACAGTTGAAACTGTGTTAATTCCCTCATATGAAGGGCAAAGCAGTGCCATTTGTGCTAACTGGTAAATACTTTGAGCTAGATGGGAAGAGGACAGTCATGAGTTTGACCTGTAATCATAGTCAGGCTTGGAATTTAAATCACTGTCACGATAGAGGCACAGAATTGCACTAAATACATAGTGTTTTCTTACCTAGGAATAACAAGAAGAACAATTTTCTATCTTAAACTGTATTCTTTGTCATAAAAAATCTTGGGAGAAACATAAGGAAACTATTTAAATGCTTGGAATAGGTGGAAGGTGTGTCATCTTTCACAGCCCTGTTTGTGATCACAGTTTCTTGAACTGTGCAGTTACTACCTTAATCGCTTGGTCACGTTGCTTGCGAGGTGTGGACTACTTATGAGTGCTGCCTTTAAAAAGGAGGCTTGAGGGAGGAGAAACCTACTGACTTGGTGCCGTTGTCTGTTTGCTGATTGCTTTCTTCTGTGGTCCACTCACTTTTCTTTAAGCTCTTGTGCAATAATTAGAAGATCTTTTGTTTGGATTGCTTTTTTGTGGTGGTTTTTCTCTGAAGAGGAAAGATACAGTACTCGGATACAAACACAGTAGAAAGTGCCATGTGAAGTTTCAGTGTGAGAAGAAAGAAGCAGTTGGTTCGTTCCAGAAACAGATTTCCCAAAATTGTGAGAAGAGAATGCATAACTAAATGTGTAAATGCACTTAATGCATACAGAGATGAAGATTCGGCACCTCTGGGTTTGCTGTCCCATGTCTTGTCTCCCTCCTGCCAGCAGCATTTAGATAAATGGGTAGTAGAACTACTTTGAGTGTTACTATTTTAAACTGTAGCTATTTTTAACCAAATACAATTTTATGACTTGGACTTGGTCTTTATTTGTTAAAAAAATTACTTGCTGTGTCTTCATATTATCTGCTTGGATAAAATGCAGTG